TCAACATGCTCCTCTGAAGTCCTACTAACGAGGTACACGGCGATAAACTTATCTATGTAGTTATGAAATATCCTATTCATCGCGTGTTGGAATGTCCCTGGAGCGTTGCAAATACCGAAAGGCATCACCACAAACTCGTACATACCGTATTTGGTATGAAAGGCGGTTTTGTGTTGATCCTCAGGCCTTATGGCAATCTGATGGTATCCGGACTTTAGATCTATCTTTCTGAAGTACCGACATCCCTGCACCTTATCCAAGATGTCGTCGATGCGGGGTAGGGGCTGAACGTTGTGATGGTATTGAGACCCCTATAGTCAATGCACATCCTCAAGGTTCCCCCCTTCTTAGGAACAAATAGAACTAGTGCATCGTAAGGGGAGGTACTAGGCCGGATCCAACCCTTCTCTGTGAGCTCCTTGAGCTGCCAACAAAGCTTATTTAACTCTGCAGGAGACATACTATATATCCGTCCTCTATGTACTTCAATTGCGTGAACAATCTCCAGCTCGACTACGGCCCTAGGCTTCTAAAAAAGGACTGGATACTCCGCGACGATTGCTTCTATCTTTGGGGTTGTTTTTACGACCTTCCCTTTCTTAGAGACAAAGACTAGATACATGTCTTCCTCGCGATCTGCCTGTAATAATTATAGAAAGTTGAAGCTCGCATGCAACCATAGGACTCGACTAGCCTGCTTGCTTTGTACTTCTGCAGTCTAATGGTCCTCCCATTTGGCAACTTGTACATCATCACCTTCCTATCCCAGTCGAATTGAGGCTTAGCAACCTCGAGGTAGTACATACCTAGCAGCATATGAAAGGGCAGATCATTGCTAACTAGGAACGAGATTTTGTGTCTCAGTTGCCCTCCTCCATAGGAGAAGGTACAAACTACATCTTTGATGTAATCCTTCACAACCAGAGAGTGCTTGTTGGCTAAGGTGGATGCTAGAGATCTACTAAGCCGCTGCACTTGGTCCCCAATGCGCAGCCTGTCCACACAAGCACGACTGATGAAAGTCCGCGTAGAACCTATGATTGTGAAGGCACCAACCTTTTGGCCACCTACATTGACTTGTATCACGGGATGTTCACCTCTAGAACCTTTAGCCGCCATTGCCCAGGAGTCTCTAGGGTCCTTCTCTAACCATTCAATCTCTAACTCCTCTGAGGACTTAGACACATCCATCGAACAAAGTATCGAATGGTCCAGATCTGTCTGCGGGCGGATATGCGGGTCAATAGTCTCGGCCATCGTCTGAAGTGGAAAGGGTAAGGTAACCACTTCAGCCCGAGTAAAAGCAGCTAATACTTCTATTGCCCCTATGTGTTTCCTGGGGAAGTGCTCGCAGATGCAACACCAGAGGTAGAAGGTCCTACAACCACTATAGAGGATGTCACCTTTCCTGTGACTTGCATACTCTTGCAGCGGGCCGCTGTCCACAATTGGGACATGTGCCTCGAGCAACATGGTCACGGCACACGCCGTACTCTAATCAAAGTTTCACCCATATGGGTGGACCTTGTTCCACTTGACCTTTGGGCCGGCTGCCCTTTTGTTTCCTGACCCCCTTATTCTTTTCTTTAATGGGAGCGACTACTCCACCCTCTGGAGTCTCCCCACTCCCATCCACCTCTCTTTCTTTCCCACAACCGGAGAAGGCATCAACCTCAGCTGCGTTGCCATCATATTCAATGAACATGAGGTTGCCCTTCTTCTTCTATTCCTGAGGAAGCTTCTTCTTCTCCTCTTCCTTCTTTTTGTCGCCAGAGAGAAAGGTTTAGGACTCAACAATGGTATCTTGGGTGTCCATTGCATTGCATCAGTTGAGAAACCGGTGGGACAGGCTACTGCGGCGGCACCTGCTGTTGCGGCAGCGCCTGTTGCAAAGGCTGCTGGACATACGGCTGTCCTGTAGCAGCATCCGCTTGATGAGGTAGCGGAGTTTGCCTACTACTACCAGCTTGTGTATAGCCTGGTGGAATGATGCCAAACTGTGGGACAAAGGGTTGTCCGATTGGCGGCATCATCATCGAAGGACCTGCAACCATAGGGGGTGACGGCCTACTATCATCTGTTTGTAAAGAACGGTAGTACTATAGCTTCCCACTGACGTACCTCACGCGCCTTGACACCCCGTGGGAGTGGACAGATGAGTGTGAGGCAGCCTTCAAGAGACTGCAGTATGCCCTCACACACCATGAAGTCTTGAAGCTTCCCAATCCTGAGAAGCCTTTCGTTGTAACCACGGATGCCAGCCAATATGGCAGTGGCGCGGTCCTTGCGCAACAGGAGGGGAAAGAGTTGAGGCCGATCGAGTACATGAGCAAAAAGATGCCGTCTAAAAAAATAGCTAAGTCCACTTATGAGCGGACGCTCTACGCCCTATATAAAGCGGGGACTCACTGGAGGCACTACCTCCTTGGCAGATTTTTCTACGTGCGATCTGGCCATGAGACTCGCCGCTGGATCATGGATGGACACGTGGGCATCGACGACATCGTTGAGCACAAGCTGATGCCGGTGCCCAAACCTCCTGGGAGAGGATGCCCTCCAAAACCACAAATGCAGTACCGCGTGCGGTTCAGACATGAGCTTGATCCAAAGGAAGACCGGCGGGTCACGAGAAGAATTGATGAAGGTTATTACTCGGTATGGAAGAAGATTGAATGGAAAGATGCCTGCTGTTTAACGACTTCTCAGAGAACTATCGAAGCAATGGAGGAGGGAGTGCGAGGAATTATGTTCATGGCATGCCCGTAAGGGGCCCCTGGTACAAGCATAGTGCATGCCCTAAGTGAAGGTGGGCCCCATATCTCAAAGAGACCTGAATGTTGCAAAATTTGCCTGCCTTGGTGGGGGCCAGACAGTCGCCACGTGCCAAATGGTTGCATTTGCCCTGCTTGCGAGCATCAGAATCTCCGTGAGCCTTCCAGGCTCTTCTACTCTTGACTTGGAAGCTGGCCTCTCGGCCAATTGGAGAGCAGGGAACACCTTGCTGGGCGCTGGGTGGTTGGACGCGCTTAACTGCTGCGGGCCCAGGGCACTGTCTGAAAGGGCCTGGGCACAGACACTTTGGCCTAACGTGAAGTTTCTGGAAGCACAGGTCTCCCAGCGAAGCAGCCTGGAGGCCAGGCCGGTGTCCATATAGGAAAGAGCCTGGCCACAAGGGACTCATTCGGGCACTTGTGTGCAAGGCGGCAGCGCTGCTAGTTTGAGTGCTCATGCTGCTTGTGCTAGTGCCTGGGGGCGCTCGGGCGCTAGGAAAGGGGAGCACTGCTTGTGGGCAGCGAGCGCCAAGCCAGCCATAGCCGGGCTTGGGCGCAGGAAGGTCAGCTGGGTATGGCGGTGGTCCTGGGATGAAGTGGGGGAGAAGTCAACGGAGAACATGAGAGAGAGCGAGTGGGGGAGTGATGTGAGAGCACGTACCTGGTCCTGGAGGAGGTCTGCATGGTTGACATCTGCATGTACTTTGGTTGCTGCTGCTGACGTCAACTGGTTGCTTTGTCATTTTGATAGGCTACCGCACGGCAGGGTATGATGCCCTAAACACACGTTGTTCAGTAACTACTGTGAAGGCGCCTGTGAACCAGCAGGCAGTTGGCCCGCAAGAGTGAGAAGGTTAAGTAGCGGTGGTGGGGCTACGTGTTGTCCGAGCGGAGTGAGTGGATTGCCATGTCCGTGGTGTGGTGTGTGTGAGTGTGTGGTGTGAGTTCAAGGACGCTACAGCCCTGGAGGTGGGCTGGATATCACGACCGGTATGGATCCAGTTTTATAACACCTCCAAGGGTTGTAGTGGTTACGATACTTTGTTCCTGTGGCTGAGGGTGCCGGTACGAGGCCGTCCGTGCACGGCAGGGTATGATGCCCTAAACACACGTTGTTCAGTAACTAACTAACTACCTCAGTAGCTGTAGGATCGTAGTCTGGGCGCTGAGCGCCAGTAGGAGGAAGAGCTTCGAGTACATTGTTGGTGGTGGCGAGAGAGGGCTTACATTGACAATTGAGTTCGCTGCTTTGGTTCTCTTTCTGTGCGGTATCAGTGCATTTCTGCTTTTGGACAGCCTACAACTATCTGGAATTCAATGTGATTTTGTAATTTGGAATTCTGTGATTTCACACTGTCTCATTTTTCCTTTGAACAACCAACTGAAGATAGTTGGCTGGCTCCCCCAGGTTGGTATTGGTAGGGCCTGCCCATCACGGGTGTGTGTGTGTGTTGGGGAGTGCTGGCCATAGACACTGCTGTTACTTGATGGGGGCGGGGGAAGTAGATGGGAGGCACAGCTACTGGCAAAATGCTTGGTCTTAACATTAGCCGGCCTCCCACCCCCACCCGCAGCCCCACCCTACTCCCTGACCACCTCTGATTAGGGCGGGGGGAAACGTGCACCCCCTTGATTGGGAGAGAGAGCTATGCTTGCAGGGGTCCCCTGTATAGGCTTGGCTTAGCTTTGTATAGTGAGAGGTGAAATTGAGAGAAGCAAGATTTTATTTTTATTTTTTGAGAACAAAAAGAAATTCCTCTTTGAATTGAAGAGAGAAGAGAAAATAACAGAATCAGACTAAGGTGGCCCCCTTTAAACCCCTTAGCCCTCCTGAAACCAATTTACAACCCCATGGCTGCCCTTGACAGCCAACAGTCGAAAAAAGAAAAGAGCCCAGATTTGGGTTCCTCTGGGCATGCTCGGAAAACCCCCACTCCCAAAAAGAAAAAGGGAAAAAAGACGCCATTTATTCCCATGCCTGGGTACCCATTGCAGCAGACCCCCACGGGTGCCCGGCCAGGCCGGCCCAGATAAATATGACAATGTTCCTAAGGCATTCTATTCAATGACAGATGGTAGGCTTTGATGGAGAATGGAGCATGGATTCTACATCCTTCACTTTTTTCTTTCCCTCCCACTGAATCATCAGTCTAAATGTGCCATTTGATTTCTGTGGTGGTATGGTGTTTCTTCCTCCGGCTTTGTTCACCCCTGTCCTCGTGCCTACAGATACTATCCACCTGGCAACTTGGGGTAAAGTGGATTGGATAAATGATAAGATTGCCATGATCCTGGCTATTCCACAAGATACCCTTAGGCATGTTCGCGGATTATCTAAAATCCCACGAGATTGTGCTTTGCAGGTATGGTTTCTGAATCTCCCAACCCACTGTTGATTCCAGCGTTGTGCATCAGCCCTAAACCTGATGAGGGATTGTAACTTGTCAGGGCTCCTTGCTTTTTCCATCTGCTATTTCTAAGAGGTTCTGAAATTCTGAATGCACACCTTTGTATAAGTTTGTATATATTGAAATTATATTGTCTAGGAAGTTCTTCCCGCCGGCCGGGAAGCAGGGTGTCACGTACCCAGGTGTGTAATGACGTCCAGTTGGGATCTTCCTTGCTCGTTGAGAGGAGCCCAAATCCGGGCTCTTCTTTTCCTTTCAGCGTTGTCCGGTAAGGGGGAGAAGGGGGATATGAATGGGCTTTAAAGTTTAAACTTTAAAGGGGGTCAAAGGGGTCTCAAGGGTTGCCTTAGTCTGATTCTTTTCTTTTCTTCGAGTCAATAAGGAGTTCTGAGGTGTGGTTTGGACAATATCTATCACCTCCAGGAGAACAGCTTGCCAAACAAAAGCAGAAATAGGACCAGACATGAGGCACACTGAAACCATTCCTGTTGCCTTTTTCTGTGCTCTCTCTTATTTCTTTCTTCTTTTTTGTTTTCCCTTCCCTTTTCGCATTCCGTCCTCTCGAACCTCTCAATCCTTTTAGCTTTTTTGAAGTTTTTTCAGTGTTTCAGTTTTATTCAATCTTTAGACTCCCTCTTTACTGTGTCTCTCTGGTGCCTCGTCGGTGTAGTTGACTCCAAGGTGTGTACACCATGCTTGCACGCTGTAAAAAGGACAAAGGGAGACAAGGTGGGGAGAGACAGAGAGAGGACAAGAGCAAAAGAAGGCAAAGGGAAAGTAAGGATTGTGGACTAGAGATCATAGCACAGGGAATGGCAGCGTAGGGAGAGATTAATGAAGACTCGGGATTCAGTCTGCATTTGACGACAGAGGGGACAGACACGGTAGGAATCAGGTGACGTGGAAGAGCTAGACATGAATTCTTAGCGCAACGGTTGCCATGATGGCTGGCATTATTCATGCCTACAAAACACTCCCAAAAAATGGCATGAGGGTTGCAGTTCAGGTTGCTAGTTCATTGTTTGGTAAGTTGCGAAACAGGTTTTCAGCTGTGTAGCATCGTGTTCGGGTTCGGTGACCGAACCCGAACGTTCGGGACCGAACGCGAACGAGCGCCGAAACTCTCCGAACGCGAACATAAAAATATTATTAAAAAAAAAAAGAAAAAACGTTCTCCAAAAAATCTGAAAAAAATATATGTTATGTAAAATAATAATACAAACAACTTTTGCCTTGGAGGTATGGTCAAATTCGTAACCAAACTCGAGTTAAAAATAAAAAACCAAAAAAAAAAGGTTTTTTTTTTTTTTTTTTTTTGACTATGTTCGGCCGAACGTCAGCTGAACACGTTCGGGTGACGTTCGGCCGAACACCCGAACATGTTCGGACGTTCGGAATAGCTCCGAACATGTTCGGTGTGCTACACAGGTTTTCAGTGTTCTAATTTTAGAAAACTTGCGTTATACCACTCAAAGATGGGGTATATGCCAAAATGCCCCTAAAAGATTGTGGTAGAGCGGCATACCTTTCTGAAAATAAGAAAACTTTGCAGAATACCCTTTATGTCGGTTCGAGTCAGGGCGGGATGGTTGATTGCGGGGCGCAGCGCGACCGGGAGCGCTGCGCCCCCGCCGGAGCTATTTCGGAGACGAAGCGGTGCGACGCGGGATCTACCGGAGAGCCAGGCGATGCGGTGGGCGAAGACGCAAGGCGACGCGATGGGCAACAACGCAAGGAAGCGAGGCGAGAGAAGGGTAAGTACGGGAGAGCTGGCGATGAGGTGGACGGTGGGATATGGTGGCGTGTGATAGAAGATGGGGTGTGTGGTAAGGTAGGGGGGAGGAGGGTGGGGAAGATGGGCAGGGGGATGAGGAGGTGCTGTACTAGGTTAGGACTTGTCGTCTTCGTTTTTTGAAACCGTTCCCTCTTCCTCAACAGTATGGTATGGGTATAGTTGTGGTGGTTTTGAACCCCCTGTGGCGACTCGCCAACAGGTTTGGCGAGGGGGTGCCACACTGTTTTCGATTTACTTTGGGGGATTGAAGATGGTCGTTCATGTCTTTGGTGCTAGCTTTGCTTTGAGCCTAGATGCTTGCAGTGGGAGGAAGGGAGTTTCTCCTTCCCCAAAGACGCAGGGGTAGGGTTTGAGGGGTGTGAGGTAAGTGGCTTGGTTGAGGAAGAAGGGCTGGGAGGCTGCTTTTTATTGGATTAGGATTCAGCCCATGCGTGGCTTGGCTGTCTTATAATTCGAACTCTACTAATAATCTTCGAATAACCAAGCTTTTCATCCTGAGATTGACTTTTCGTTGATGATTCTAATTCATGATTCTTGATCTTCTTGAGAAAAGGATTCCAATGATGTGACGTATCAGAATTTTAATTGAGAATTTCATGTCGTGCTGTCAATCGTGGATTTTTTGATTCGTCATGCTTTTTTCCCCTGATTTTTCCTGAGTTGTGGTTGCTTTCCTGAATTTTTTTCAGAGGATGTTTTTGAACGATTTCGTTTCTAGAATTGTGATTTGCTTAACATCTGACTCATGAGATCTTAGGTGTTTTCTGGATAAAATTGATCCCTGATCGGAAATTCATATTTTCTATTCTGAGCAAGATCCTTAATCTGAAATTCGTATTTTCTGAGCAGGATTTCTCATCTTAAATTCGTATTTTCTGAGCAAGACTCCTAATCTTTTTTTTTTTTTTTTTTTTTTT